TTTGGTCACGTGTTAGGATCAGAGAAGCTTGATAGATTTTAGCGGAATTATCTTTTTAGTAAGGTCAAAAACTAGGTCGATGTTATTAAATATTAAGTGACCAATTAGAAGTTAAGATTTTTTAAAAATATTTATTAAGCTGAATAAGCTCTGTGATCCACTTTTTGCACAAAAATTGATATTGATAAAAAAGATGGTAGTGGGGTGCTAAAAATAATATAAAGTAAAATAAAATACAGGACAGTGTATCTAATTATAGTCCTAGTTATTGTGTTAATTATGAAGTTTATTAATTATAGAATCAGTTGTATCAATTGTAGATCTAAAATTATTATTAAGTTATTTGTATCCAATTTCTTTTCAGTATATTTTAAATAAATGTTAGCCATTTTCCAGGCAGTAAATCTAAGGTTCAGTTTCCTTTGTGAAATTCCCGCTGCATATTCGACGTGCAGTCTTTTGGTTTCTTTTGTTTTACGGTATATAAACCTCAATGGGTTATTTAATGCCGACAACTTTTTTTTCCTGGTAATATTTTTGTTTTGTCAAAAATCTATTTCTGTTAATATTTTTTCCTCAAAAACGTATAGCTGGTAATAATATTTTTTCAAAAATGTAGAGCTGGTAATATTATTTTTTTCGAAAACGTATAGCTGGTAATATTATTTTTCCAAAAACGTATAGCTGGTAATATTATATTTTCAAAAACGTATAGCTGGTAATAATATTTTTTCAAAAATGTAGAGCTGGTAATATTACTTTTTTCGAAAACGTATAGCTGGTAATATTATTTTTCCAAAAGCGTATAGCTGGTAATATTATTTTTTCAAAAACGTATAGCTGGTATATTATTTTTTCAAAAACGTATAGCTAGTAATATTATATTTTCAAAAACGTATAACTGGTAATATTATATTTTCAAAAACGTATGGCTGGTAATATTATTTTTTTCGAAAACGTATAGCTGGTAATATTTTTTCAAAAGCGTATAGCTGGTAATATTATTTTTTCAAAAACGTATAGCTGGTAATAATACTTTTTTCAAATAGTTGGTAATATTCTATTTTCAAAAACTTATAGCTGGTAATATTATTTTTTCAAAACCGTATAGCTGGTAATAATATTTTTCAAAAACGTATAGCTGGTAATATTTTTTCAAAAGCGTATAGCTGGTAATATTATTTTTTTCAAAAAAACGTATAGCTGGTAATAATACTTTTTTTCAAAAACGTATTGCTGGTAATAATATTTTTTCAAAAACGTATTGCTGGTAATATTATTTTTTCAAAAACGTATTGCTGGTAATATTTTTTTTCTTAAAAAATTTATTTCTGGTAATAATTTTTTACAAAGTATTTCTGGTATTAAAACCTATTTTTACACTTTTATAATGCATTTTACCTCAGTTTCGGGGTTAAATATTTGCCCATAGCTGGGACCCTAACAGGTGCTACCACACCGGGTCAGGGTGGACCTGGGAACACCAGCAATTAAGAGGTCGTTTCATGCTCCTCGAAGCCTCCTTGTCAGAGGCCTTGCTGTTGGACGTAGTTTATCGTCTTACCCAGGAAGCGGATGTACTTTATCGTCTTACCTTGGACGCGGATGTAGTTTTATCGTCATACCCGGACGAACTGCCTTAATGGAATTTAGATTGTTGAATTGTTCTAAAACAGCAGAAATATCCTCTTCCAGAGCAACACCAGTTAAAGCAATGTCAGGGATTAGTCTGAGAGTGGGTTATCTACTTTCCGTGTCCATCTCTGGTGAAGGTCAAGGGGAGCTCTGGTCCTTTTTCCCCCCTTCTCTCTTTATCGCAACAAGAAGATATTTATTCGCAACAATATTTTTACAGCAATTATACTGATAGCATTAATTATTATTAACGCATTTGTAGAGGCCCGTTAGTTGATGTGACCTCTCAATTTATATTTGACGCAAAATACCACAAAATATGAAACAACAAGGAAGGAACACAAAACGGTTTTATAACAACAAAAAATTTATATTCTTATTTGCATAATGATGTACAAGCATAGGGGTTACTATTTTTGTTGGTGTTATCTCCCTTTGACTGAATTAAAGTTTTTATTAATGTAATATTTTTATCCGAGCTCACAAAAGTTGAAATGAACTTGCCGCTTAAAATGTTCACTGTTAGAGAGTTGAAAGAATTAAGGCTAAGAATATGTTGAGTAAAAACTTTTAGCTTCCGTAGAGTTGAATGTTCCGTAATGTTTGTAATTAAGTTTCCATTGCTTGTAGTTGAATATTCGTGGTTTGAAATGAAGTTTGAAATGTTCCGTACGTACGTGTATGTATGCATGCGTAAATGTTTTCAGCGTCCGCCCAAACTGGGAATCGGAACATTGTTTCCTTTAAGGCTACATTTTCGTAGGCGAATAAAATCAAGAAATAGAGAACGAATTTGTGTCTGATATTTGTTTCTTTATTAAAGGCACAGCAGTTTTCTTTTCTTTTTCCATGGCTTCTTTCACAGTGTCTACATTGTTTGCTATTTTTTATTGCTATCTCATGGTATATTTCAGTTTTTCCTTTGCTGGCATCCTTGTATCATATATTGTCTTTCATTGTAGCTTCATGTTCTTATGCTCTCAATAGCTACTTTTGATGAGAGGTTTGGTTTGATGATAAAGTTTCTCCTGTCCTCTGCATTCTTTACTCCTTTTGTTAATTGTTGTCACTGCTGCTGTTTAGGCTACTGCCATTGTTGCTGCTGCTGCTGTTTTGCAGTGCCTATTCCAGAACATCTTGCTGGGGAGATGGAACTGCCAATTTCACTCAGTCCATTTGCCAGAACCACTGGAGCCATCTTTGGTGTTTCCGTCCTTGGCTGCTCTGGTGTTCGTTGAATCTGTGTTGCTGGATTACCGTTCGAACACAATGTAGTGTCTATTTTCATTCTTATTCAATGTGTCTATTTTCATTCTTATTTTGTGTTTGTTTTTTTTTCCCAGGTCCTCACACTCTATATTGGCAAAGATTTCTTCTTCTCTGTTGCTTTTGTTCTCTTTATTTACATTGTATAGGTATATGTCCTCTTCTTGGTTTTGATCCACACCCTGCTCTGTATGTAGTGTTCACATTTTTCTTTACAGCATTCTGCTCCCTGTGTCTGTTGTGCAGATTTGGATTTTTATTCTTATGCAACCTTCCTTGTCTCATTTTATTTGGGCAATTTTATCTGATCTGCCATGTGTGCATTTTTGTGAGGCAGTAATTTTCGAAGTGGTGTAAACCATGGCATTTTCTGCATTCTTTATTAAAAACATAGCAGTCTTCTTTTCTTTTTCCATGGCTTCTTTCACACCGTCTACATTGTCTGCTATTTTTTATTGCTACCTCATGGTATATTTCAGCTTGTCATCCACTGACGTCCTTGTTCTTGTGTATTCTCTCTCGTCATAGCTTCATATGCTCTTGCAGACGCCTGTTAGTTGGTGTGACGTCTCAGTTTATATTTAACGCAAAATACCACAAAATATGAAACAATAAGAATAAACACAAAAACGGTTTTATAACAACAACAAGATTTATGTTTATATTTGTATAATGATGTACAAACATAAGGGTTGTTTCCTCTTGACTGGATTTAAAGTTTGTACTAATAGAATACTTTTTTATCTGAGCTCATAAAAGTTGAATGAACTTGCCACTCAAAATGTTCACCCGTGAGAGAGTTGAAAGAATTATAAAACTGAGAATATGTTGAGTAAACTTTTAGTTTCAGGACGGTTGAAGGATTGAATTTTCCGCAACGTTTGTAATTAAGTTTCCGTTGCTCGTCATTAAGCCTGTAAAGTTTGTAAGGTTTCCTATGTTTTTAATATAGTTTGAAAAGTTTCGTACGTACGTGTATGCGTGCGTGTGTGAATATGTTTTCATAGCGTCCGCCCGAGCTGGGGTTCAGAACGCAGTTTTCTTTAAGGCTACATTTTCGTAGGCGAATGAAATCAAGAAAGAGAGAGGAAAAACGAATTTGTGCCTGATATTTATAATCAACGTAATCACGTGACAGTCTCGAAAAAGGCATTGACATATTTTGGCAGAATTATTTTTTGTCAGGTCAAGAACTAGGTCGATGTTATTCGGACATGATTTAAATATCAAGTGACCAATCAGAAGCTGAGATTTCCTGAAAATATGTATGAAGCTTGATAAGCTCTGTGATCCACTTTTTGCACAGAAATCGACATTGATATTCGGGCATGATTTAAATATCAAGTGACCAATAAAAAGCTGAGATTTCCTGAAATTATTTATGAAGCTTGATAAGCTCTGTGATCCACTTTTTGCACAGAAATCGACATTGATATTCGGGCATGATTTAAATATCAACCAATAAAAGTGACCAAATTATTTATGAAGCTTGAGCTTTCCTGAAAAATCGACATTGATATTCGGGCATGATTTAAAAGCAAGTGACTCGGAAGATCCAAAATATGTATGAAGCTTGATAAGCTCTTTTTTGCACAGAAATCGACATTGATATTCGGGCATGATTTAAATATCAAGTGACCAATCGGAAGCTGGGATTTCCTGAAAATATGTATGAAGCTTGATAAGCTCTGTGATCCACTTTTTGCACAGAAATCGACATTGATATTCGGGCATGATTTAAATATTAAGTGACCAATCAGAAGCTGGGATTTCCTGAAAATATGTATGAAGCTGGGTAAGCTCTGTGATCCACTTTTTGCACAGATTTATACAAAATTTAACATTGAGAAGAAAATTTTAGCGGGATGCTAAACATTTAATAAAATAAAACAAAATGCTAAACATTTAATAAAATAAAATACACAACTGCGTATTTTTATAGATACAAATATTTAAGTAAATGCTCTGTTTAAAATAATTGTCGGACTTTGTCCATTTCGTAGTGGGTGGCGTCATTTGTTTACGTTTGGATACGCTTCAATTTCTCTTTTTGCTATTTAATTTAATAAAGTGTTATTTTTTTTTATTTTCATTTTCAGGGCAGCCGGACTTTTGGTCATGCTGGTTTCGGTGGTCAGATGGGTGCAGGTGATCAACAACATAAGGTTGGCATAGCTTACCTGACAAACAACCTTGCGGTTTTTCCTTTTGTCGACCCGAGGTATCTTGCACTGAGAGACGCTTTCTACGAGTGCTTGACCCAACTAGAAAACAGCAAAACTTCTGGGAAATAATATAAAATAACGAGAGAATAAATTTAAGAGTCAAATTTTATGTATCAATTTAAAATAAAATAAAATAAAATAAAAACTGCTGTACGTGACGCTGGCTGCAGTGAAAATGATATGAGTTCAAGTCTTGCTCGGGGGCTTATTTCTTTCTTTATTTCTTATCTGCGCCGTCATAGACGGACAGACTGTGTAATTATGACAGAAAAGAACAACAAAGAAATTAAAAAGTAAGAGATATTAGTTTAAATGAATAATACTACCGTATATGCCGGCGTACAAGTCGACCTTTTATTCTTCAGTTCAGTTATGAGTCATGAGTGATACACGCTTAGGCGATCATGTATCTTTCGATACATGACTGACGAGGCAGATTATTTCCCCGCAATAGGTTGCCACTTCTTTCTGTAGTAGACCAGTTGCGATCCAAGGCTATAGAACCGGGCCTGTCCTGCTATTTACCCATAGCCAGTCAGTTATATGCCATGTGTGATACACGCTTAGGCGATCATATATCTTTCGATACATGACTGACGAGGCAGATTATTTCCCCGCAATAGGTTGCCACTTCTTTCTGTAGTAGACCAGTTGCCATCCAAGGCTATAGAACCCGGCCTGTCCTGATATTTACTCATAGCCAGTCAGTTATATGCCATGTGTGATACATGAGTAGGCGATCATATATCTTTCGATACATGACTGACGAGGCAGATTTTTTCCCCGCAATAGGTTGCCACTTCTTTCTGTAGTAGACCAGTTGCCATCCAAGGCTATAGAACCCGGCCTGTCCTGATATTTACCCATAGCCAGTCAGTTATATGCCATATGTGATACATGTGTAGGCGATCATATATCTTTCGATACATGACTGACGATACAGATTTTTTCCCGCAATAGGTTGCCACTTCTTTCTATAGTAGACCAGTTGCCATCCAAGGCTATAGAACCGGGCCTGTCCTGATATTTACCCATAGCCAGTCAGTTATATGCCATGTGTGATACATGCTTAGGCGATCATATATCTTTCGATACATGACTGACGATACAGATTTTTCCCGCAATAGGTTGCCACTTCTTTCTGTAGTAGACCAGTTGCCATCCAAGGCTATAGAACCCGGCATGTACTGCTATTTACCCATAGCCTATCAGTTATATGCCATATGTGATACATGTGTAGGCGATCATATATCTTTCGATACATGACTGACGATACAGATTTTTTCCCGCAATAGGTTGCCACTTCTTTCTGTAGTAGACCAGTTGCCATCCAAGGCTATAGAACCCGGCCTGTCCTGATATTTACTCATAGCCAGTCAGTTATATGTCATGTGTCATACATGAGTAGGCGATCATATATCTTTCGATACATGACTGACGAGGCAGATTATTTCCCGCAATAGGTTGCCATTTCTTTCTGGGGTAGACCAGTTGCCATCCAAGAAGCTGGTCTGTCCTGCTATTTACCCATAGCTGGGGTGGGGAATAGAGGATTCATAGCTTTCCCATCGGTTAAATGCCATGTATCTGACTGGAAAGGCATGATATGTGCCAGACGTGATACACGCTTAGGGCGATCATATATCTTTCGATACCCTGACTGACGAGGCAGATTTTTTTTTTCCGCAATAGGTTTCAACTTCTTTCTGTAGTAGACCAGTTGCCATCCAAGGATATAGAACCCGGTCTATCCTGCTATTTTCTCATAGCTTTCAGAAGAAGATTCCTGTGCTGTATCCCCTCAGGATGTAGGTGATCACGGATCTCCACAACTTCCTTTTCCTTTGTAGCTGGTAAATGGGAAGTCATTAGCACGATAGGTTTTTGACGGTAGGATTTCTTTCCTGCCTAATTATCGACCCCCATCCAAAAAGCTGCCGAACTGTCCTGACTTTTACCCAAAAATGATATGGGGAATAGTCTTGCTCATACCTTTCCCAAGGTTATTTCTTATCCGCGCCGTCAAAGACTGACAGACTATTCGACTGGAAAGAAAAAATTAAGTCATGTGCCAGACGTGATACTTTTCATTCTAAGGTTGAAAATCTTTCGATAATTTACTGACGTAGCAAAGTTTTTTTCGCATAAAGATTTCATTTCATTCTGCAGCTAGACCAAAAGAAAAAAAAAATTTGCAAAGATAGAAACCAACACATCCTGCTATTTTCTCATAAAATTTGTTTTAAAAGATTCCTTCAGTTTCCCTCAAATTTTCGTGATCAAATCTCCAAAACTTTTTTTTTTTTGTAGCTGGTTTCTTGGTTTTATTATCTAAACCTCAGTTTTTGATGGCAAAATTAACCCTCAATTATCTATTCCCCAAAAAAAGAGCCGAACATGATGCTTTCTTCGGTTCCAAACAATGATATGTTTACATTATTGCTTTTCTGGGGCTTGAGGATTTCTTTATTTCTTATCCGCGCCGTCAAAGACTGACAGACTGTGTAGTTATAATAGAAAAAAAATTAATGTGGGTGTCATTGATGAGTTCTTTCATTCTAAGGTTGAAAAGCGTAATAATTTACGTTTAAGTAGCAAAGTTTTACATTTCCATAAAGAATATTCTGAATAATGTAAATAGTGTGCATAATACCTCATGTCAGAAATATAGACAGATACTGAAGGGCTGAAACGTTGTAATAAATATGGCAACAAAGATGAGGACAATAGTCCGTACATAATACCTTGTCTCAGAAATATAGACAGATACTGAAGGGCCGAAACATTGTAATAAATATGGTAACAAAGATGAGGACAATAGTCCGAATAATGTAAATAGTGTACATAATACCTCTTCTCAGAAATATAGACAGATACTGAAGGGCCGAAACATTGTAATAAATATGGCAACAAAGATGAAGACAATAGTCCGAATAATGTAAATAATGTACATAATACCTCATCTCAGAAATATAGACCGATACTGAAGTGCCCAAACATTGTAATAAATATGGCAACAAAGATGAAGACAATAGTCCGAATAATGTAAATAATGTACATAATACCTCATCTCAGAAATATAGACCGATACTGAAGGGCCGAAACATTGTAATAAATATGGCAACAAAGATGAAGACAATAGTCCGAATAATGTAAATAATGTACATAATACCTCATCTCAGAAATATAGACGGATGTCCTTAACGTATTTTATTGATAAAAGCAATTTTAATTCTAATTAAATACAGTCTTTGGTTTTTGTATTTTGCAATTCAGAGCAGATTTTCGGTAACTTCTGGTCCGATTTTACAAAAACAAATTGGCAATTCAAATTCTTGAAAGACTTTTGCTTTTAACTAATATTAAGAATAAAATTTAGGGTGTTATAGTCCGTCTGATTCATTCTGCACACTAGCGAGATGAAACGTCACAAAAGCAGAAAACGAAATAACAAAAGTCGTTTTCTGCGCATTAGGCTCCACGCATCACATTGGGTCTAAGAAGTGAGCTCCGGCGGTGGCTAATCGCGATCTCGTTTCCGCCGGGGGCGGAGGGGAGAGAGAGAGAGAGAGAGAGATAGAGAGAGAGAGAGAGAGAGAGAGAGAGAGAGAGAGAGAGAGAGATAGAGAGATCCTGGGGATTAACAGATCTGCTTAAAACCAGCTCTTTGAGAACGACTAGGACAGTCGCGGCTCGGCGCGGAAGCCGGTCGCCACGCAGGGCGCTGCTGCTGCTGCCATGACAACAGAGTTGTCATCCGACCGTCGCGTAGGACATTACGGCCGCCACCGTCGCCGATTTCATCGACGCCACTCAACATGACCGCACCGCACGACGACCGTTACCACTTCCTGGCTTGACCAACCATCTCGGCTATCCAGCTTCGACGCGAAACATTTCAACCTTGACTCCAGCCAGCAGAGCTATCCAACTTCAACTTGAACCATCTCAACCTAAATTTCTCCCATCTCCACGCTTTCGTCGATACCAACACTCACTGTCACTTCAGCCTACCACGACTCGCTTACAAGGGCATTCTCTTCGAAGTCGACACAGCGACCTTCGTGTCACAGAACAGGCCTACCAATCCCCGCCATCACTTCGGCCTACTTCGACTCGTTTACATGTTATTCCCTTTACAGTCGACACCAGTGACCTTCGTTCCACAGAACAGGCCTACAAAACCCCACCGTTACCTCGGCCTACGTCGAAGCGTTTATAAGGCATTCCCTTCATAGTCGACAACAGCGACCTTTGTTCCACAGAATAGGCCTGCCAATACCCGCCATCATCTCGGTCAACCTTGACTCGTTTACAAGGCATTACCATCACAGTCGACACCAGCGACCTCCTTACCACAGAACAACCCTACCTCGACTCGTTTACAAGGAATTCCATTCACAATCGGCTCCAGCGAGCTTCGTCCACAGAACAGGCCTACCAACCCCTGACGTCACCTCAGCCTACGTCGACTCGTTTACACGGCATTCCCTTCACACTCGACATCAGCGACCTCCTTGCCACAGAACAGTCCTACCTCGACTCGTTTACAAGGCATTCTCTTCACAGTCAACACTAGCGACCTTCGTTTCACAGAACAGGCCTGCCTAGACTTGTTTACAATGCATTCCACACACTGTCGGCTCCAGTGCCCTTCGTTCCACAGAACAGGCCTACCAACCCCCGCCGTCACTTCGGCTTACCTCAACTTTTATAAGGCATTCCCTTGACAGTTGACACCAGCGACCTGCTTGCCACAGAACAGGCCTACCTCGACTCGGTCACAAAGCATTCCTTTCCCAGTCGACACCAGCGAACTCCTTCCTACAGAACAGGCCTACTTCATTTCGGTTAGTAGGCATTCCCTTCACAGTCGGCTCCAGCGACCTTCGCTCCACTGAACAGGCCTACCAAAAGCACGTCATTCTGACGTCACCCCGGTTCAACACAAAAGGTCTACCAACCGCCGAAACCATATCGGCCTACGTCGACTCGTTTACAAAGCATTCCCTTCACACTCAACACCAGCGACCTCCTTACCACAGAGCAGTCCTACCTAGACTCGTTTACAAGGAATTCCATTCACAATCGGCTCCAGTGACCTTCGTCCACAGAACAGGCCTACCAACCCCTGACGTCATCTCGGCCTACGTCGACTCGTTTACAAGACATTCCCTTCACACCAGCGACCTCCTTACCACAGAGCAGTCCTACCTAGACTCGTTTACAAGGAATTCCCTTCACAATCGGCTCCAGTGACCTTCGTCCACAGAACAGGCCTACCAACCCCTGACGTCATCTCGGCCTACGTCGACTCTTTTACAAGGCATTCCCTTCACACTCGACACCAGCGACCTCCTTGCCACAGAACAATTCTACCTAGACTCGTTTAGAAGACATTCCCTTCACAGTCGGCTTCAGCGACCTTCGCTCCACTGAACAGGCCTACACATTCTGACGTCACCCCGGTTCAACACAAAAGGTTTCTACCAACCGCCGAAACCACCTACCACCGTGACCTCAATCAACCAAACGTGCACCGACCGTATCTTCTGAACTCGGCCACGCCGGCGCAAGAAAATGTGTCAACTCCCGACATTACGCTTACTCCAGAGATCGCTATTACTTTACTCATACTGTCTACCAACAATAGACGCTGTTTCAATGTAATCCTCATTATGGACCTCCCCCTCGTTACCAAACACTTAATATAGCAGGGATAATAGATGTAACAAAATATTTTTTACCGAGACTGCCTAAAAATTCTAAAAAAAAAAAAAAAAAATTTCTAAAATAATTTTATTCATTTGTGAATATGTCCTGAAGGTTTCATTAAAATCCGACTATTATTTTATTTTTGCAAGTATTTCAAAATGAATGTGTTTCACTTCAAAAAAAAAAAAAGGATGCTAAAATTGGTTGTGTTATTTTATAGTCAAGATTTTTAATAAAAAATTTCGAATCTTCTAAAAAAAAAAAAAAAAAAAAAGGATGAAAAAAATTATAATAAAAAAAAAAACACTCTGGTCTTTCTTCTTATTAATAGCGTAAAGATTTTAAACCGATAAAAAAAAAAAAAGGTAAATTTTCATTTCAACATCCGAGCGCTAATATCCCTTCAAATTTTTCCCAAATAGTCTTATTTCCGTGCAAATGTATATGCTGAACTCAAATCAACAATTAGATATTAAAGAAATCTACCTTTTTGGATGTTAATGGCCAGAAAAAAATCGAACTTTTTCTTGGTCTTTCGTCATCCCTTACCGGCTTATTGAGAAGTAATTCAGTGCTGAATTTTGTTGGTGGACGTATACAATTTGGGCCTATTTACTCCCTTCATAGTAATTCCTTGTAGTTATCTTTCAAATTAGGGTTAGGTGTTTTTTTGTTTTTGTTTTTATTTGTTCTCCTTTTTTTAAAGAAGGAAGTTAACTTTCAAATTATTAGGGTTAGGTGTTTTTTTTGGTTTTTTTTTTGTTATTATTTTTCTTTTTAAAGAAGAAAGTTAACTTTCAAATTAGGGTTAGGTGTTTTTTGGGGGGTTATTCTTTTTTTTTAAGAATAAAGTTAACTTTCAAATTAGGGTTAGGTGTTTTTTTTTCTTTTGTTATTCTTTTATTTGTCGATGTTTACATATATTTGAAAGTTAACTTTCTTCTTAAATTAAGTACAAAAAAAATAATAAAATAAAATCGCTTTACGGAAGCGCGTACTAATTTCTGAAAGAAAATAGTTCAGCAGTAAATGACGCTCGGGTGTTAAAATGAAAATTTACCAAAAAGAAAACTTAGTTTTTGGCAAGTTAGGGTTAATTTTTCGTCAGAGTATGCTATTTTTTTCGGCAAATTCCTGAAAATACTACGTGTTATAGTTTTTTTAACCCACAATTATCACAAGCCTACGATTATTAACAAATTAAAAAGAAGTGTGGCGTGATAAGCATGTTTGTATGAGTAGTTGAGTGTGTTAAGTCGGCCTGGGGGTTAAGTATATGTTCTTGAGGTAGCGTGTTGCATGGTTGATGTGGGCGGGGCTTCTTAGTACTCGGGCCGCGGAGCAAAGTACCTGCTAAGCACTGACGATTTTCGACTGAGCATCCGAGCAAAATAGCAGTGTCCAGTTTAACTCTTCATTCATAATTGTCGTTCCTGTTCGGAGTTGTCTGCTCTTTACTTTCTCTCCATCAAGGCGTGGCATCTCGTACTTTCGAAATAAGACAAAAAGTGAAATGGATGTTTTTACGGGCTTCCTAATTGCGTCCCTCGGGGCGATCTTTATTGGGTTCCTATACAAAAAAACTAAAAGTCAGGCTAAAGTTTTGCCTGTTCGGGTTTCTGGACATGTTGATCCCAGATTTAAAAATGTCGAAGAAGTTTTTAGGTAAGTAAAAAAAATAAAAACATAAACAAAACTTCTTTACTTTTTTATTTAAAAGTTCTGATCTGTTTTTTTTTTTTTTTTACTAATTATTTATTTACGATTTATTTAAATATTTATATTTATTTAATTTAAATATTTAAATATATTTATTTATTGTTTTTATCGTGTTTATTTTTACATATCTTTTTTTTAAAACTAGTAATTAAATTAATTAACTTGTTGAATTTACAATAATATTTTAATTTTAACAACAACTTAAATGTAAAAAAAATCTAATTAAAGAAATAAATAATTGTGTTAAAAATTCAATTTTCATTGAAGAAATGTTTAGCTTTCACAAAATATTGTCCATATTCATAAAAACAACTAAAAACTAATAAAAGCATTTGAAATTAAATAATATCTTTGTTTTATTGAGTTTTATGTTACAATTCAGAGCTGATTTTCAGGTACGTTGGCTCCAATTAAAAAACAAACAAACATAATTTGCATTTTTCAAAGCCTTGTGCTTTTTAAATTTATTGTAATCACTAAAATTGATGTGATCGAATTTCTAGAGTTTTTCATAAAATTAGTTATGGGGGTGTTAGTTAAAAAAAAAAAAAATTCTGCCATGACTTTAATTAAAAAAAAAACATATTTATAATAATTTCCATCCTCTGTGAATAGTTTCTGAAAGTTTGATTAACATCCGACAATTATTTTTATTTTTGCAAGATTTTCCAAATTAATGTGTGTCATATAAAAAAAGTGCTAAAAATTGTCTGTTATTTTTTTACTAGTCCCGGTTGGTTTTTTTTTTCATCAAAATTTAGAATCTTTTAAAAAGAAGGAAAAATTTTAAAAAATAATTAAAAAAAACTTTGGTCTTTCCTCTTCATAAAAACATAAGCATTTAGAGACGATAAAATTTTGTTTTCATAAAGTTTGGCGTCTTTTTTATCAGACTATGCTCTATTTTTTAGCGATTTCGTGGAGGTACCCCAAGTGAGGTACGACGACCTGAAATAAACTTTTTTACTTTTAAAAATTAAATTACTTATTTTTTTTTTTTTTTTCTGAATTTAATCTATACTTTTATTTATTAAGCTAAAAGCAGTATATTTATTTTATTTAAAATCTATCGACCTGAATATTCGAGCCTGCGTCCCCTCGATTTAATGACAGTTTCCACTAGAGGACGCAGGTTCGAATTCTGCCGGAGTTAGCATATTTTTCTTTCT